GATATTTCTGTTGCATTTTCTTTAATGTCTTTCTATGTTCTCATTTGAGGTCTAAAATACAATCTAAAGACACTATGCCTTTGGATTTCACTGGGGTCAATATCCATTGTCCCACCCCCGTTTTGATACCATTGAAATGTAATTATTGTCCTCTCAAATAACCAATACATATAAGTTAATTGATTTCCAGTTCTGACTTTCATTAGATTCAGTTGGTTACTTATATCTGTTAAAAAGGAGCAAAACATCCTTTTTGATCCCCATCAACATCCTTATTTTCCAAATAAATGGAATTCTGGGAGTTGAAGTCCACAAAACTTCAAGTTGCCAAGGTTGAGAAACACTGCACTATACTAAACCATACAATGGTTTTGTTGGTTTCGGCTTAGCTTAGTCTGTTGTATGAATGTTTTGTCGTTTTCAGCCATAGTTTATGGTTGGTTAAAGAAACCAAACTTTACAAACCAGATTCACACATTACACTAAGCTATAGGTTTTTTATGATCATTGTAATGAGTCACAATAGCCAGATTCATACAAACACAAAAGCCATAAAACATAGTTTATAAACTACATTAGTTAGGTTCACACTTGCACCACCAGACCTGGACTGCAAAAATCTGGATGGCCATTAGATGGTACCAAAGAGATACAGAAAATCCTATTCTTTGCCCCCATCTAGTAATAAAAGCCATAATTGTACAGCCCAGATCTGGTAGCCTTAATTCACACATTGCATATTACTTAGGGCAATGTTCAAACCCATACTTTACATCTTAAGCATCATGAATGAAAAAAGAGGCAGTATGGCTAATTCTTACTTTAAAATATCCAGGCTCGGTATGCTATGTAAAATCAACCCAATGCATCCAGGGAAGAAATAACATTGAACTGTAGTGCTGTCCTGATGCTTTTTGACAAAACCACATGGCAGTTCCTGCTTGGCCGTGGCTGATTTCAAATAAAGCTAAGCAGAATCAGACCTGGTTAATAATTGGAAGAGAGACCATCAGGGAAACCCAGGATTTTGGCTAGACTGGGGAAGAATAAAAATATCCTTAAAGGAGACAATGGCAATTTAATTGTGCATTGCTGCCACAAAAATTCCATATGGATATACCTATGTAATCACCAGGGGTGGAATATAATTCAGAGTAATCTTTATCTTTCGCATCTTAATACCTCACATTCCACTTTGCTAACTGATAACACATAGGCTGTGGAATGTGCTTTACGAAAGGGGAAAAACGTAGAGATTAAAATAACAGTACGTCCATATGAATTCACACATTTCACTGTTTTTAAAACCCTGTCTCAGTTACAAGTTATCATGATAAAAAGAGGGTATTTTCTAACTGTACTTTCCTATTCTTTGAAGAGAAATCATTCTAACCAATATTTCTTGCTCTTGGAAAATGCTCCATTAAGTCTTCAATGATCCACGTATCACATAATTCAGGTGCATTTGTGTTTTTCAGAAAGTGAACCAGCATTACACTGTCCTCCCAATGGAATTATTGAGCAGGCTGGTCTGATTTTATTTATGGTACTTTGCAGAAGGAAGGAAGGGTCAATGGGCCTCGAATATTTTTTCTTATACAAACAAATGGAAAATAAATATGTCACCCCAAAAACACCACAGGACCTAAATATTGCTTGATCTTCAGGAACTCTAACTGGAAATAATTCTATTTCTGTGTCACAGCTTCATCCTGTGTTCCCTTTTTTGATTACAAAAACTTCATATATATGTTGAGATGTTGCCCACTTAATCATAGTTATTGAATGAAACAATCAGCTGAGTTCACACATGTTAAACCATAAACTATGGTTTATGTTCTATAATGTCTGGGGTCATTCAACATGCTAGATAAAATGAAACAAACAAAAGTATGTCTTGTAGGATTCTGGCTAGATTGGCACAACATGCTAGGCTGAAGAGTGACTGGATAGTTTGTAGTTCAGTATCTATGTAGGCAGCAAAAATCCAGATGTCTACTTGCTGAATGCAAGTACCATCTAATGGCTATTTGGATTTTTGCATATGTGGTACACTGTGGTACACCCAAAATGCTGAGTGAATCCAGGCAATTGCATTAATACTGGAAAAGTATTAAGTAAACCATAGCTGTGTCGAGCAAACACAGTCTTGGAGACGCCTGGGACAGAATGGTAGTCTATCTGTCCTACCCATTTTCTTTTCACAGCATCCTATAATGTTTTCTGTCTTTTCTCCCAATTAAATCAGTCTCAGGTGAGAGCATATGGGGAAACACAAAATACTGAAACAACTTTTGGAATTGTATTTTAACTTAAGAGTTGTTTTTCTTGAAAAAAACTCCATGTGACTGTTTCAAATTCTGAACCATACTTTGGATAGCATCCCCTATAATGGATTTGGCACCCTGGGCAATTATTTGCACTACCTTCCATAAAAGTCCTAGAATTGTATTTTTAAGTTATGAGGTGATCAGACTCTGGATATTACTAAATATATCTGAACACTTTGCACTTATTGCTAAATATCTGAACACTGGACATTGCAGATAGAATCCAACAACTGAATTCACATAGAGATAACTCATTGGTTTCTAATTAATTGAGAAATTTTGCAGCTGATGTAATTCCATCACAAATTTCTTCTGATTAATCTTCATTTAAGTATTCTGTAATTATTAAACAACTGTTCTCTCTCCCTACTTTGGGGAATGGAGGGTTGATACCCATATTAGGTTAGAAAAACATAAATAAGAGCATTAAAAATCCTTCAAGAACAGGAGTGGAGGAAATTGATAGAAATAATCCATCTCTTCGTAATGGGATTGATTAAAATAGATGAGCAGATGTATTTATTTCTCATTCAAGACAAAGGAAATGTTATAAACAATATATAGTTTCTGACTAAGAATCTTGAAATAATTTTCTTTTCATTGCAGCAGATTGATACAGCTATGAATGGGATTAATTGCCATAAATTTAGCGAGGCCTATTAAGTCAGATTTTTTAGAAATGGGATATGACAAATTTATGAAAGATGCATGTATTGATGGCTACTAATTATACTATGGAATAATACAGTTGTTGGACCTGATAGCTGGCAAAAGTTCTTGTACATTGCTTGTGGACTTTTCAAAGGCATCTGGTTGGTTATTTTGAAAAATAGGATGATGTACTAATAGCCTGGGGCTTACCTCCAATACTTCATTTTCATATATACAGGTAGTCCCCAGTATGAGAGTTCCATTCCCAAGGTCTGTCCTTAAGTCGAATTTGCATGTAAGCTGGAACAGTATTATTGTATAACATTGTATAAGTAATATTGTTTAATAAACTCAAACTATTGTGTATTTAATGTGAAACATTGTGTATTTAACTCACATTTTGCTACAATAGGCTCTTAGCTGTAAACTGGGTGTTCTTAACCCAGGAACTACCTGTACTTAAATATGCTTTCAATATCTGGGAAACATAATTTCAGTGAATATTGTATTCCACTACCAAGCTACAAACTGCTATTGAACAAAAAATAACTTTGAAAGGGAAATTCCAGTAAGAAACCACACAGTGGAATATATCAATAATTTTGATATTATTTAGGAATAAACCAATTAAATTATTTTCTGTCCTATTAGAACTGTTAATATGCTAGGCTGATGGTGTTATCACCAATTATTGCTGTAATCAATAATCACAGAATGGTTTACTCACTTTTATCTAACTAAATATAGATATTTAGGAATATTTATAATCTGCTTTTCTCTGTATTAAAAAAAGTTTAAGGAGTGCATTCATACATCATCCTGAGCCATGTTTGCTTAACCATTGTTTGTTAATAAGCTACAATTGTCTGCACAGCACACCAAACCATGGTTAATTAATCACAATGGCTGGATGCACAATAAGCTAAACTAAACCACATTTTGGCTTAATCATAATCTATAAACAAAGCCAGTGGCACCACCCCCCAAAAAAGAACACTAAACTATATAGAACAATTCAACTTATTGTTCTATGCATACATAACAGCATTCCTAAAAGAATAGTTCTTGGAGCCTTTCTGTTTCCTTTTATCTTGCACTTTGGCACGAACTACTTCCATCTGAACTTCCTCATCATCTGAACCTTATTCATGTTCTCTCTACAGTGCTATCACCTTTTGAACTTTCCTCCTGATTTCTGCTTACTCAGCTTACATATCAAATACACATCTCAACATTAGAAAGTACAAAATCTAAACACTAGCCTTTTGCTGACTCTCCCTTCTCTATCCTCTTTCTTGGGAGAGTCACTGAATTTGCTAGACTAACATGCTGCACTAAGATATACTGTGGTTTATTGGATTTGGCATATTTGGTGTGTGAATCCAACCACTGTAGTTTGTAAATTATAGTTTAGAAACTCAGTTTTATCTGTGACCCAGGCCCCCATGCATTTTTCAACAGACCATGATTAAAATAAACCATGCTTGCCACAATGTTTTAACGAAACCAGTTCAACAGGACTTAGCACCGAGTAAGCTTTCATACGCCTGAACCATAACTCTGCTCTTGCTCAACTAGAGTCAAACAAAGATCTAACTTCGCATAAATGTGCTAACATCAGTCTGCTTCTTTCTCTTGCTGACGATTCCGCTTCCGTATTTACTGGACCGTAAAAACTCTTTATTCAAAGTTATTGCGACTCACAGAAATATTAAAGGAGATCATTGCAGAAGTACTTCTATCGCCTGCAGTTGCCTTTGTAAAACCTAAAAAGTAGTTTGTTTAACCGCACTTAAACGAAATTGTACGAACAGAGAAGAGTTGGGGATGGAATCGAAAAAGGATGCAAACGCAGCCGCATCCACGCCCACTCAGATGTTGTACCGAATTCAGTGCGGCTTATTCCCAGGAAAATTGGAATGATTACCGGAAGTTAACTGGCGTGGACTTCTGGATTCAGCCATGCATCGGGTTGTACATCTAGTCCATAGGCAAAAGCGGCAAAACGCCCGGGCTACAAACTTAACCGGCCTGTAAAATCCAAACGTGCAAACTGAACAGAAACACGCGTCGGTTACTTATCGAAGTAGACTACACTTCCCAGCAACCCCCGGACGATGGAGTTTTTCGGCTGTTCGTGGAGGCGGGCTTGGAGGCGGGCTTGCTTCGCCTGGGTCGGCGCTTCATGGCGGCTGGAGGCTGCTTCGCCGCGGCCATTGGGGGGATTCCGGCGCTCCGTTGCTCTGGGCTTGTTTTCGGCAGGAGCGTCCCCTCAGCGACCTGCAATGGCTCTGCCTTCCGCCCCCTTGAAAGTCTGCATCGTGGGCTCAGGAAACTGGTGAGTGGGAAGCGCCGTTCGCCCGGCGCTGGCGGGGGCGTCAGCGGAGCCTGCGCTGCCTTGTGGCCGGTTTTCGTGGGGAGAAGCCCCCTGCCATTGCTGCGCCTTTCGCCCCCTCCGCGAACGGTGACAGCCTCCCGAAACGGGGCGCGGAGAGGTTTCCGATTAAGCCCTGCCGGGGCGCTGTTTCGCCGGCCAGGTGCGGCTTTTGCGCCTCCCCTTTTTGCAGAGGGCGCTGGGGGTTGAAGGTTGCCCGTTCCCCGCTTGGTGTGGAAATGTGGTGGTTCCAGGTGAGTCCCTTCGTTAGGAACCGGGACGCTGGGCTTGAATGTCCATTGGTGGTGGTGGTACTTCGCCTGCCAAGAGTTTAACCCTAAGCCAGGTACCTACGATGGCATTCTCTCAGCCAGGCTTCTCCACCTGGATATGCTGGGTGAGAGAATGGTTGAAGATGTCGTCCAACACGGCCAAAGCACACCCGTGGGGAAAAGCTTGTGTAAAGGCATTGCTCTTGCAGTGACTGCAATGCAAAAAACAGCCCACATAATTCCATGCCCTGTGGCACAAATATTTATTTATAACAGTTACAGTCCATTGGCTCCAGAGGGTAGAACCAATCACAGAATTGGAAGGGGCCATTTTATTTATTTTTATTTATTT